GAAGGAACAGCTGTTCGAAAACTAGAAAGCACCAGACAAAATGTGTCTAAACTTGAAGCACACATCATGAGACTGGAGCAAAAACTAGACGAGAAAGACCAAACTCTTTATCATACGAAAATGGAGGGCAGAAACAAGGAAAAGTTCCTAAAGCGGACGATTCAGGAGCTAAGGCGTCAGTACAGCGGATCTTTACCTTTGATGAAGCAAGAACGGTTTGCGAACACCATGAGAGGTTTACAAGAGGATAAAAGGAAGTTAGAGCAAGAGTTGAGTCAAGCCAAAACGAGGCGTGAAGCGGCTGAGGACAAACTCGCTGAATTAGAGCTTAAACAATCCAGTCTTGAGGAGTTGATTGCGACCCTTAAGGATCATAAAGGCGCGACTAAAGTTACTGAATGGCACACGAAAATGAATGARATACGGCTGCAGGATCTTAAGTTGAATCGTACCTTAGACAGATTTAAAGAACAGAATARATATCTAGAAAATATTATTAAATCTCATGAAAGAACTATTTCAGACTATGAAGAAGAGATCGTGCAAATGAGCAAACATCACGAGGAAAGGCAGTTGTTATGGGAACAAAGAGAGGTTGAGTTGGAGAGATCGCTTGATCGGTTAGAGAAACAGCAGAAAGATGTCTTRGAGGCCGCCACACGGTTTGAAGAGGCAACAGGATCGATTCCTGATCATAATTTACCTGTAGCCAATCAACTGGAGCTGGCTGTGAGGAAAATAAGAGAGCATATTAAGATTATTATTGGAACTAAGTATGAAAACCAAAAGTTATTAAAGGTAGGAATAGAATCTCTTCATCTCTCACTCACTCACTCACTTCCTTCCTTCCTTCCTTCCTTCGTACGTTCCTTCCTACCTTCCTACCTTCCCTCCTTCGTTCTTTCCTTCCTTCGTTCCTTCCTTCGTTCCTTCCTTCGTTCCTTCCTTCCTTTTTCTTCGTTGATGTGCCTAATACACCTAAGAGCAATGTCTTCACATTTCAGACCACATGCCATTCTCTTGAGAATAGATTTTTTCTTTGAATTGTATCCATAATCATGTCTCTCATGTCCAAACGTTAAACAAGGAAATGATACTCAAGAGAATGGCATGTGGTTTAAAATGGGAAAATAGTGGATCAGTTCAATTCTTTCCTTTCTTTTCATTTGTTGATTCCTTCCTCCCTTCTTCTCTCCCTCCCTTCCATCATTCCAACTCTCATCCTTTCATT